ATAAATTCAGTAAGTTCAGATATAAAGTCAATCTAGAAAAGTAAATTGTATTTCTATACAGTAGTAGAAATTGAAATGAAACAGCTGTTCTGTCTACTGTAGCAACAACAATATGAAATTCTTAGGTATAATTATCAATACACACAGGGTCTCCATGCCACACACCACACACACAGATGAGAGAAGAAGAGCCAACAAGGGGAGAGAGACGGCGGCTTGCGCTGAGACCTATGAGCTGACCTCCTGATGGAACACAATCCCAGCCCAAAGGCCAGCAGGAAGGTTTGTAGATGGCAACAAGCAAATTCTAAAATATATGCAGGAAAACATAGAACCCACAATAGCCAAAACAATTTTGAAAATGAACAAAAATTGGAAGATTCACACTCTCTGATTTCAAGACTTGTTATAAAGCTGCAGAGACTGAAACAGGCTGGTTCTTGTTTGTGTAAGGCCACGCACACACTCAACAGCAGAACACAGTCCAGAAACAGACTCACAAAAATAGGGCCACAAGATATTTTTTTTTAAGTGTAAAGGCACTTCAATGGAGAGGGGGTAAATCACTCTGAGACACCAGGGCGTTAATGTGCGGAACGAGGGCATCTCGGCTCAGATCCCACCTTGTCGCAAAGTTAACTAAAAATGAACCATAAACCTGAATGTAAAACACTAAACTATAAAGCTTTGGAGGCAAACACAAAATAAAAATCTTTGCAACCCAGGTTAGGTAGAGTTCTCAAAAGTGACACAAATTATCATCTATGTAAAAAATAGTAAGGAAGGAAAGAAACTGATCTTTTTAATGGGCAAATATTTGAGCAGGCTGCTCGCATAGAGGCTCTGTCGATGGCAAACAAGCACCTGACAAGATGCTCAGCGTCATTAGTCATGATGGAAATGGAATCCGAAACTGTAATGAGATTCCCTTAAAACGGCTTTGAGGGAGGCTAATACGGCCAACATCAAGGGTGCAGCACGTGCACTGTTCACCGCTGTGGGGACACCGCACAGTCACCTGGAGAAACAGTGTGCCAGGGCCTCACAACACCAAACACTGGCCACACAACCCAGCAAGCACACATGTGGCTATCACCAAAAGAACACCAGAGCCTACACTCACAGAAGACCTGCATGTGGCTGCTTGTAGCTTTACTTATAAACACAAACCCTGGAAACGCAAATGTCCCTCAGCAGTCGGGTGGACGAGCACACTGAGATGTCCCTGCACACGGAAGCACAAAACCGACTGAGCTCCAGGCAGCCACGTGGTTGGGATGCCCTGCATCTTGCTGGCACCCAGGCTCCCCGCTGTAGGAGCCCACGTCCTGAGCATCCTGAAAACAGCGGTGGGAGAAGGCCACAGGTGCAGGAGAACGTGGCTCTGGTGGCCGGGGCCCCCCGTGTGGTCAGCACCAGGGAAACTCATGCATGTTGGAATTGTTCTGTGTCCTCATTACAATGATGGCCACACCACACTGCCAATAAGAACAAATTTTAGCATGCGTGAACTTAAAAATAAGTGTTAGAGTATGCACCCACAGCACACTTGAACTCTGGCCAGGGTCAGGTGGCTGGTAGCCTGGCCCCCAGTAGGCCCGACTCCACAGCTACCGCTAACGAGCTGCCATGTCCACGCTAAACACTACAGACCACCTTAAAAGGAGGAACAGAAGCCCAGGATGTTGCTAAGCACAATCTAATGTGTGTGTTTCCAGAACCTACCTATCCCACCCCGTGCCTCCTCTGTTGTCCCATGCCTAGAGTCTATGCCAAAGTCCTCGCCCGGTGGCCCCTCTGGCCATCCATTCTGGCTTCTTGAGTCGGCCAGGGACCCAAGAACACAAACCACGGATAAAGCAATGCCAGGCCCAGCCCCATCCCCACAGGGATCCTGGACCCCCAACTGCTCCAAATCTTGGTTTCTTCATCTTAAAATAGTGGACGTTAGACCACAGGCCCTTTAAAGTCTGTGCCAGCACTAAATTTTTATGAATTTATGATGCCTGCCATAAACCTCTCATTTTTTCCAGTTTGTCTTTAAGAGACTGAAGATTAGAAATAAAAGCTGGATTTTCTTGTTATTGTTGCTGGATTTGTTTATTTTGCTGTTAGGGAATATTTTTAAACTTCAAAAAGAGTCTCTAATCCCAAAGTTTGAGAACTGCCACACTAGAAATGTGTGAGGAGAACCCTCACCATATAACCTAGCCTGCTTCTAATCCAAGGGAACTTCCAGAAACTTCTGTGGTCAAAAAGAAGGTGTTACAAGAGGTGGTGGAAGGAAGCTTCCGGAGCTGTTGGCCCTGTCTCCAAGACGGAATGGGACGAGGGACAGCGGCACAGCCTACCGTGCGGGGTCAAACTGACCTGCAGCCTCGGGTCCTGCCCCAGAGGTCCACACGCCGGGCCAGGAGCAGGTGCAGTGCTGGGTGCCACCCTCCTGGCCCCCAGGGAGCTGGTCGGCTCTCGAGGGTCAGGCTGGACCACTCCCTGGGCTTCAGCTGTGCTGGAACTGATACGTCCACACCGTGAGGTCCCCAGGGGAGATCTGGGCCGTGCTCGGGGAGCAGGAGGGCCCCCGAGGGCCAGCAGAGGGGCCGGAGGGTGGTGTGCAACAGTCCCCTGGGCTCTCACAGGAGATGGGGTGCGTGTGCACACGCTTCTGTAGTTATACTTGGAACACAGTTTAACAAAGATCTCATGTTTAAGATTTTATTATCTTATTTTTGAGCATGGATTCGAAAAAAAAGCCATGCCAGTTATCTTTTGCCAAGAATAAAACTCAAGCTGGCACAATGTTTTCTAGCCCCATGCTTACCAGCACTGATGGAAAAATCCAACTTTAAAGGAAAATTAATATTTAAGAATTCACTTCCGTAAAACATGGTAAATAATGAAGTGTGGAAATATTTCCTCTACTGAAACCACAGTATTTCTAAAGGCTTCTCTGCTGTTAGGACTCCTGGTCTGCTCCATACAGGACTGAAAACTTACAGGGGCTCTAAGCATGGAGTCCCCAGGCGGCCGCCATATGGAATTTTCATAGAAATCCAACACTAACCCAGAAAACTGCAAGTATATACCTGCTCATATTTTTTTATTTTTTAAAAAGGAAGTGATTTGTAAGCTCTGTGATCTTCATGAGAATAATCACGTCAGCAGGGTGAAGGCCGTGGGGGGCTGTGAAGGTATACGGGACTATAGCGGTGCATGGGGGGGCCATGGGGTCTGTGGGGACTATGGAAGTCCTAGAGAATCATGGGGTCTGTGGGGAGTCATGGGGCCATGGGATCATGGGGGGTTCCCTTGGGGACTATGGGGGGGTCATGGGGATTGTGGGGGACCATAGGGAATTGTGGAAAATCATGGAGTTGTGAGGGTCCCTTGGGGACCATGGGGGGTCATGGGGATCCCTGTGGGGACTATGGGAGGCCATGGAGTCATGGGGGACTGTGGGAAGTCGGGGGATCATGGGGTTATGGGGGGTCCCTGTGGGGACCATAGGGGGTATGCAGATTATGGGAGGGCCATGGGGGGTCAGGGGCCATGGTGGGCAGGTAGGAACCCCCAGATCCTGGGGTACCCGTGAGTATCTCCGGCTCCCCTCCAGTCAGCCCAGATGTTTTCCATCTGCCCATCTGTCAGTCAACAGATGGTAGCACCCTTCCTCCATCCTCCCTTCAGGTGCGGCAATGTGGGGACGTCTTGGCTGAGGTGCCCGAGGGGCGTATCCCCACCACCACAGCCCACATGCCAGACAGCTGAGCACCCAGGAATTCACACACACAGTGGGAAGCCACTGAGAGCGTCAGGGAAAGCGCCCAGGTGGGAAGCAGACTGAAGGGTGGGCAGTGAGAAGCGGGTGGGGGCGAGCCTGGCGGACAATCCCTGTCCTCTGTCCTCGGGAGGGGCACCGGCTCCCAAACAAACCTCTGAGATCGTTCCCGCAGTGAAGGCGCCAGGGCAGCAGCTGGGCCACCTGGCAGCACACGGGCCGGCTGGTGGGCAAGAACCCGGGGCTGCCCTCCAGGACCCGCCTGGGACAGGCCACTGGCTGTGGCAGGGCAGCTGGGGTGCAAAGAGAACACTGAGCGAGGCTGCTGGGGGACCCCCGAGAAGGAGCTGATGGGCTCCAAGCAGACTCCATTTCATCAGCATCAAAAGGAGCCAATATGCCAGCAAATGGCTTTAGGGCACCAGCCTAATGGATGGACGGGCGAGGGTGCATGAGCAGCCGAGGATGCTTCACCTTGGGGGGCGGGGCCACGGGGGACACGTGGGGCCCGGCCCCTCTGGGACTGCCAGGGGAAGCACGGCCTCAGGGGCTCCCAGGCAGCCTGCACCCTCCCAGCCCCTCGTGAGATGGGGAAAACCAGGGCCCTGTCTCAGCCGCTGACGCAGGCAGCAACCCCCTCGCCCTGTGCACCGTGACTTGACCCAGTCCGGAAAGCTCCACCTGGCGGTCCCGTCCTGCTTAAGGAACCGAGCCACGCGTTCCCCTGCCCCGAGAGAAGCAGGCCCCGTGAGAGGGTCAGCACGGGCATGGCACCTGAGTCACCAGGGTGAGAGGCCCCTCTCCGGGAAAAGGCTGACCCCGGCCCCCACTGCCCTACGTGTAATACCGATAACGGGGCCAGTCGCGCGTACCCGCCACACTCTGGGTACACACTCTGGGTATTGCACACTGGGAGCTCAGTGTGCAATTCTGTCATTAATATGCATAACAATTTTAAAAGTCCTGCTGAATCGACTGACAAGTAAAACCAGAGATTGCAGAATGAGAAACGGTTCTTATGTCTGAGGTGCACGGGCCAGGGCCACCACTGCCCCAACCCGCTGGGCCTCCCCTGGGCCTCCCCTGGGCCTCTGCGCCTGATCGTCTGCCGCTCCCAGGGCAGCATTCCCAGTTCACTGTCATGGTCCAACCTGACGACCCAGCGGGGAGACAGACCCCGCGCAGCGTGGCAGGCCCGTGATCAGAGGGCGAGGGCACTCACCTCCAGCAGCAGCCTTCCCTCCAGCACAGCGGACCCTCCGCTCAGACCGCTGTCTTCCGGTGACGGGGCAGCAGCCGCCGGCTGCGGCGGGCACTTCTGCACGGCTGTCAGAGAAGGACAAAGCGAGTCCGTCAGCGCCCTTCCTGGGCCCCAGGCCTGCTTACCTTCTTCTGTTTCCCAAGTTCTCAGCTGCCACCCTCTGCGGGCAAATCCGCGTTCCCAAGCTGGCCCGGGGTCTCCTCCGTGGGATGCATGGGGCAGCACCGCCGGGACTGGAACCCAGGCCAACCAGGGCGGCCAGGTGGGGGCGCCGAGTGTGACATTCAGGAGACCAGGCCATCTGGGCTGGGCCTCACCTCGAGGACCCCACCCCTACTCTGCTCTGCAGAAAATGCTCTCTGCCCCCTCCTCCAAACCCCTCAGAATCCTGCCCAGCCGCAGGGACCCCGCCCAGGGGTCCCCAAAGGTCCTCTCTGGAGATCCAAGCTCCTGCAGGTGCCCTAATTCAGCACTGCTGGTCTACATAACTCAGACCACCATGAAGGTTCCCACGTGACCTCACCACGCCCCCAGCTCCCCCGACCCCTGACCCGGCACGGAAGGCCCCCCTGGCATGACTCAGGTGCCCCCCAGGGGTGGCAGTTTCCTGGCCCTCCCCCACCCCCAACCCCAGTGTGGCCCCATCTCCGTTTTGGGGTGAAGAGCTCAAACATATAGCCATGGAGGTCACCATGTCGTCCATATCCCAGCTCACCGGCCCCTGTCGTGCACCCCCGGCTGCATGCCCAGGGTCCCTACCCGGATGGGGGATTATGGGAGGACCCCTGGGGTGCAGAAAGGGGGCCAGCCTGGAGTCTCCATGGAGGGCTGGGCAGGCCAGGAAGTGCCTCCCAGTCGCCCCTCAGGTCAGTTTCCAAACTGAAGCTGCAGGTGATGTCAGTGCCTGCACGAGGCAGACAGACCCTGCTGGGTCCCGGTCTTGGGAGACACAAGGCACAAGATACAAACACAGGCACTTAAACCTCCCACATTTTCTCTTCCAAAACCGTCAAACGAGCTGAACTTCCGCAGGGCGTGCGGGTCGTGAGGGCTGTGCCACCTGGGTGGTTTTACTTGTCAGCAGCTTCACAGCTTGAGCCGCACTCGGACCCAGGGTCGGCCCCACACCCACCGCACCAGTGAGCCTCCACCGGGGAGTTTAACAGAAATCCAGGCCCCGGGTCCCAGGAGCCCCAGGCCTTAGGGCCCCGATGTTCACACTCCAGGTGAGACGCTCCGTCCGACCCTCTCGTCAGGCACCGCCCTCCTTGGCGGGGCCCTCACCCCACACCAGCTGCACTGCTGGCTTGGCAGCTCTCTGTCGCCCACCAGAGGACGCTGGGCGGTGCCAGGGGCAGGGATCCAGCGAGGTGGCCCTCGGGGGAGCACCACAGACGGTGGTCACGTCGGGGCCTTTGGGCTCTGTCTGGCCTCCCTGTCCCTCCCTCTCCCAGAGGGCTGGACCTCTGTTCTCTGCCTTAAGTATTCCCAGATACGAACCCATTTCCCTGGCCAGAAAGCAGGTATATTCTGGGAAACAAGAACAGTCTCTCCCAAGGGCCGCGGGCGAAGGTGCAGGACAGTCCGTGCTACAGACTGCCCAGGCCCCTCTTCCCCACCGAAAACCTCACCAGCAGCCCGGCCCCCACCGCACACTCAGCTTTCAGATGTGTCAAAGGCCAGAGACATTTAGAGGCACCTATTTTTAGTCCCTCTGGGTACGTAACCCTGTCGTTCAGAAAGCGGAAAGGTCTGAATTCGCTAAACTCACACCGCTCCCCTCCCCCAGCACACAGAAGCAGAAAACGGGCCCTGGAGAAGCCAGTGCCTGTCCCCTGAGGGAATCTTCCGGTCCCAGAACACCCCTAAGGCTGAGGTGGGCCTTTGCCAGGGGACACACACATGACCCCATGTTCTCAGGGGCCCAGAAAGATAAAGGAAAAAGGCTGGCATGTGAGCCCACGTCCCACCCTCCCACGCCCCTCCAGAGGCACAGCTCCCCCCTGGGTACGGGCAGAGCCTGTGCAGCGCCTGGGGCGGGTTTGGGGCTCAGTGAAGGCCCGGAGTGCTGTTGGCTGGGCAGAGACAGGACCTCCCAACCCAGTGCGTCCTGGGCCGCCTGCCCACACGCCCAGGCCACCAAGGCCCTCCGCAAAGCAAACTCCATTGGAGGGGCCATCCCCCCTACACACACCGGCAGCTCGAGCCAGCTCCCTGCCCCAGCCTTCCCCAAGACGCCCCGCAAACTGTGGGCAGGAGAGGTCGGGGTCGGACTGTCCCTGCCTGCCTGCTCTCTTGCAGATCCTGTTGGGGGCGGGGGGTGGTGATGGCACTGACTCCCACGACTGTGAGGCTGGGGTGGGGGAAAAATCCCAGCATGGTGGCTACATCCCATCCCACACCCACTAGAGGCAGGAGTGGGGGACACCCTCTCTCACTTCTAGCATGGGGACACCAGCCCCCCACTACCGCGTGTCCCCCAAGGGGCACCCCTCTCTCTCTCTATCTTCTCTCCTCTCCCCAACATGGCTCTCTGCACGGGGACACCAGCCCCCGAGCATCGCGTGCCCCCCCCACCCCCACTGGGCACCCCCACTTCCCCTCCTCTGCAGCCACATCCCGGCGGGGCACGCCCAGCGGGGCCTCCTCTGGGCTCCTGTCACGCGATGGGGCCATCAGTGCTGCAGTGACAGCCACCTGGACCCAGGCCAGGCCCTCGCGTGCGAGCAGAGCCGCTGCCGCGCCCCACCCCCAGGCCTGTGGCAAGACAGAAAGAAACCAAATGCAGGAGCCGGGGGTGGGGGCCAGCTTTCCCGGAAATCCATGCGAGCTGACAGCGCCTGCTGCTCGCTTCCCAGGTCCCACACTTCAGGGGCCCTCGGGGATGAGAAGCAGAGCAGCAAACTCCAGTGGGGTGTGGGGTCCCAGCCAGGGTCCCGCCTTCCCTCCCACCCGCACCTCCTCAGCCCTCCTGGCTCAGCACCGCCCTGGATCTGCTTCTCCACCTTAGAGTTTCTCTCCTGGGTCCTGCTTTCTCTGTCCCTTGTGAATGCAGGTCGCACCCAAGGGCCTGAGCTGGGAGTGAAATGGGGGCTGGGGCTGTGGGCAAGGCAGCCAGTGCCCTGGGGACTTCTGCAGACAGACCTCAGCCCCACTGGTGGGTCTGCCCTGGGGGGTCCCCCCTCTCCACGCCTCCTCTCCTCCTTCATGACAAGGAACAAGCCCACCACCTGGCCCCTGTCACCCCTCATCTGCACCTGACTGTCCACAGCAACGGGTCAGGGAGCAGGTGCGGGTGCAGGGTGCCCTTCTGGGGAGCTGGTGAAAGTGTGGGGAGAAAGTCTACCACGGGCCCCCCAAAGGCCCAGCTTGTCGAGAAGGCCATGAAGAGGAAAGGTGCAGGGATGAGAGCCCCCACAGGCCAGCTGGAGATCAAGAGGCCCATCCACGCACAAGTGGCCCAGGCCCCGCGTGAGCCGCTGGCACTTGCCCTGCCCACAGAAAGGAGCCCGGGCTGCGGGCTTGGCTCCCACCAGGACCACGGCCCCCAGGGACTGGCCTGACGCCGCGCATTCCGCGCTGGTCTGTCACACGGAGCTCAGGGCCGTGTGGCAGGGGGAGGGGGCGTGAGCCAGGCTGCCCACTCCCAGAAGCGAACGGACGCCCTCGGGCTCACAGCTCAGCCTGAGCCCTGATGGAAGCCTGTGCTGCTCTGTCCTCCAGGCTGCTCGCCGACCCTGAGTCACCCAACGACCCGGAGCAGCCGCAGTGAGACTCCCTAACGACTGGTGCTTCTCACTTTGCTGACCTCTTACGTCCTTGAGAAGGTTCATTTGGGACAGAGAGAGTCTGAAAACCCAGTGGCCACCCCAGTCCACACACAGGCCAGGGTGGGGGTGCTTAAGAAAGGAGGGGCCATTCCCTTTGAGGCTCAGACTGGGGCTGCCCGCGCCTTGCCAGCTCCTACCCCACACCCCGGCCTCTTTGCTAAGAGACCTCATTTCCCTCACACAGAGGAGACTCAGAGCAAGGTGCCACCCTGGGCCAAACCACATGCCACTGGGGCCCAGTGTCCCACCACAGTGGCTGCTTAGCGGTCGTGTGGCGGGGTCCAGCCAATGAGAGGTGCCAAGGGTTCTTGGTGGAGGAGAAGCTAGAAGACTCCCCTACTCTGCCCCTGAATGGTGCTGTGATGCGAAGAAGGTGGCAGCCACTTTGATCCCAGCTCAGGTGAAGCCAAGTCCTCGGCAGACAGGACAGGTGGGCCTGGGATGTAGGGTGCACTGAATGTGAGATGCGTGGAGATGTCTAGAGGTTGGGCAGGATTCCTGCCACTCAGAGTGATTAAAAGCCTGGGGCCCCACTGGAGGCTGGACTGAAACCCCACTTCTGACCATTTGCAGGTCCTGGAGTGGACGGGCCCATGTCCATGGACCGGCTGAACGGAACACCTGCCCGGTGAAACCCGGCACGCTTTCAGAGTTGAGCCCGGGGGCTCTGCACTGTGTGTGGGTAGCACCCACGGCATGTCTCCTCTGGGTCATCTCCTCCTCCAGCCCTGGCCTCGCAGCCCCTCACCGGTCAGAGCCGGTCCCCACACTTGCCTACACGTCCCTGTGGAGGCAGGTGACGTGACTGTGGCTCCGCTCTGCATGTCCCTGTGCTATGCCCAGAGGTCAGGGGTCTGACGTCCGTCCCAGCCCCTTGGAGACACACTCAGCAGAGGAGAGCACACAGCTTAGAGCAGGGAGTGGCTCTAAGCCGACACCGACAGGCTTCATGCTCTGTGTTGGGCTCCCTCTCGGCACGCCACCTGGGGGCCCGGGCCACCCACCTGGAGGCTGACAGGTGCAGCACGCGGGGGGCCCGCCACGGCGGAAGGTCGGCTGTGTTGACTCGGTTCCATCCACCGTCAGGGCCTCTTCTGGAGGGCCGGCATGGGGCTTCTGGGCCCACGTGTGTTGGGGGTGGATGGGTGTCCCCTGCAGCCCTGGCTCACCTCTCCCCACACCTGGTCTCTCCAACCAGAGCAAGGCTGTGGCAGAGAGAGCAGGCAGGTGCTTCC